TCTCTTTCCAAACAATACACAATATTTAAACTTCTAAAAACATATTTTATCTTAAAACACAGATGGTCAAAGTCATCATAAAAAAAATAAGGTGTCAATTGTTTATAAAAATTACTGGGGGTCTATTTATGGCGGAAAAGAACTATAAATATATATATTTTTTTTCTGTTATTGGAAACACTTAGAACAACCACTCTCAATTCAATTAAGTTATCCAGCGCGTGCAGTTCTGGAAATTACGACATGTAGAAGCTAATAACGCCATAGCAAGTGTTGACATTCAGGATGTTTAAAACCAGTACCAGTTAAGACAAGTTTAGCGCAGTAAAATTGGCATCCGTTTTCAGCCTTTCCTAGCCTTTAACTTCTTGTAGACGTTCTTTGTTGTCCCTGCGGTTCTCACGGATATTAAACTGTTAAAAATATTAGTATATGAGGGTTAACAGAAAAATGATCGCGATGAAAAAATGCTTTTTTTTTGGCCAAATAGCCTTAATAACAAAAGCAAACAACAGCCGAAGTTAGTCGATGAATCGATCTTTAAAATTAGTAACGTACATAATTGTTTCAGGGGACATGACAATTAAACAGGAAAATAATCAGGTTTCATTATTTACATCGTTACCAATGGATACGCATCGAATATCGGCCTTTTAACACCATGGTACTTATTTCTACTATCACGTCTCCTGCGCCGAACTTCAGTACTTCCTTGCATTGCAAAATACAGAGTTCCTTCAGAAGAAAGGGCAGCAAAGTAACATTAAACAAATACTTTACCAAAAAAAGAGAAATTGCATTGCCTAGAATTGAGGCAAAACCAGGCCAATCCCTTGGAAGTTTTGAGCCTCGTTTTGCTCCCGCGAGCCCTGTGATCACAGGTCAGTGGTTTTCTTTCCAAATAATCGAATTCTGAACAGGAAAAATGTCGAAAAAGTTTAACTAGATTTTCTGTCTTTTTGTGCCGTGCTCTCGCCGGAGGCCTCGTCAATTCATCAACTTTATTCTATCAGGTGTACAGAAGCGGTAAGTGTTGTTAGATTTCCATTGTTTTTTTTCCCGATTTCTAAAGATTGCCGGCCGGAAAACCCAACTTTTGTCAACGGGCACGTCTTGCGATCTTCACACCAGTATGTCAGTTAGTATTGTTTTCTTTTGTATTTTCGTGTTTTAGCGGTATAGTTGCAGTTTGCACTTAGTATATTGAAGGTAAGAGAAATCGCTAAGTATCATTTCGATTCTTTCGCTTATGGGAAAATAATATGTAAATGTCATTTACTATATTCGCCACAGCACTTTCGTCACGACTGGCAGACCAATCTACGCCGCCAATTTCACTTCTTGCATCAACAGCGTTGCAGCATTTTGAGTCGTTTTATTGTTTCTGTAGTTGATTGGCAGATAAATATTTGCACAACAAATTTGTCCTGATCGCAAGCCACGAATACATAGGATAGAGTTCGGCAAGATCATAAAACGAACTCCAGTTTCGTGACCCTTTGTTCAGGGCGTTACGCGGTAACTTGTGAAGACTGGAATTTTTACGAAACCTTTCTCATTTAAATTATCACAAAGTCCTCCTTGCCCGAGCTGACGGTAAGTGAAACATGTTTGTTATGTTTCTCGTTGATTTTGGTTCGCTGTTTGCCTTCGGAATTCCAATTAGGTTTGTTTAGTTTCTGGTGTTATTATAAAGAATAACATTTTACCACATGTGCTGTGTCATAAAGCCTTCTAACAAGAACAAATTTGTAAGGAATCTTATGATCGCGGCTTTCAAAGCAATTTGTTCAGAATGTTTCCTTCCTTGAGTGCAATTGGGTATTCTTAGCGCTAAAGGTATTTAGTAAATCGATTCAAGCACTTTTGGTGAAACAAATTTGCCCAGTTGTATAAAATTGTTGAAAATTATCAGTCCTGCCATCAAAGACATTTCTTGTCGAGATCTCGTGTAATCGGTTCTTTCGTTTATTGCATTGAATTTAATTCCCTTTGCAAGCAGCGGCAAAAGAGTTAATTACACCTATTTCCTAGTATAATAGGGTCTTAATCTGCTGATTGGCAAATCCTGTTTCATCGTTGAAGGTTCGTTAGACCTCAATGCTTTTATGCCATCATCATATATTACGTAGCGAAATGTGGTAAATGGTCTTAAATATGGGTTTTCATTTTCAAATCCATCTTTAAGAAAACGCGGCAGATTTGCTTTAAATTTACAATAACAGTTATGTCATTGTCTTCGAAGCTTAACTGTTTATGTTTTAATAGCTCTCTATAGAATTTTAAAAAGTGATTCATGCGAAGCGACATAATTCCTTGACTGGGTGTTCAAAAATCTGTGTAACTAACTATCTTTGGTGATGTAGGCGGCAGTGTGGATATTGAGTCTTTGCGGCCAGCTGTCTCTGTTTTGCTAGTTAAGGCAAATCGAGGCAAAATGATGTGAACAAAGAATCTTTATTTGAAATAATAGCTGTATTTTTATTCATTGTGATAATCTATACACGCTCATCCTTTGTTCTTCACAATCGAAAACCACAAAGGTGAAGTCATCCTGTTATTCTCAATCATGACACCCTCATCTCTCAAACCACCTACACGGAGTTAGTTATTATTTTTGATTTTATCAAGATGTCCTAGCTCCTGCCATTAACGTCTTTAACTGAAAATTTTCTTAGAAGAGATGCCTTACATGTACAAACATCAAGTTTTGGTGCTGCATTTTTTTATCTGAAGGAATGCTAGAAGCTTGACTGACTGTCTGACTGTCTTAAATGATTACATCATATCAATATGTATTGATACAAATTTCCTTGTTTCAAAAGATAAAGTTATATATAGTTTTGTAGCCCAGCTAAAAAAGGGTTGGGGAAGTTGGAATAGCAAGAATCTATCAAAACCCCTTTTGCAAAGTGCAGTCATGTGAAAATGTCCATATATACATCCGTAACTGTTTTAGTCCTAATGAAAACAGTTAAGGCTCTCTTATGGCTATTTGCAATGAAATCAAAGTCACGATCATGGCTATTAATGAAACAACAATCGTAATGGTTAAAGCGATGATTATAAACAATTGCCATTTTCATTAGTGGGGCAATGATGGCAAAGAAATGGGCCAAAAAGTGTGCTGCGCCTCTAGAAATTTTGTTTTGCTTATTAAACATGTTTTATTGTTATTATCATTATTATCATTATTATTATTATTATTATTATTATTATTATTTGTATTATTGTTATTTCTTGCTTTGAGCACTGGCTGATCTTACACCAATTTACTCCTTACTCTAGAACTCCAATACATTCCTTCTATTATTACTATTATTATTATTGCTGCGGAGCGACCGAAGGGAGCGAGCAGCAACATAATCAGGATTTAAAGGAAATATATAAAGGGGCGACGAATTCTCGAATTCATCACTTTTTACCACAATGCATTGCATTTAACCACACTTTTTACCACAATGCATTGCATTTAACCAGAGTGCATTGCGCCACGAACAACTCAAATGAAAACACGGGGAAGTAGTGCATCGTTCGCTGCTCAGTTCTACAGCACGGTTAGAGGTCTTACCAAATTTTAAGACACGCAGGAGTCTTTCAGATGAGTACGATGGTTAACTTGGGGATTGGATTTCAATTCAAGAGCCTTTTTTGACTCGTCCAGGTGTTAAACCTGACGAGAAGATGAGCATTTGCTCTTCGACTCCGCAGCACGGGGGATATACAAATTCCAGCTTGCTAGAAGGTGATGTGAAAGTGAGAAAATGTCATGCAAAGCTATTCTTAAGAAACTGTATGAGCTGAAAATGGATGTGATTTTGACCATTCGCTTCAAAATAACAGCGGAAATCGAGATAACAAAACATATGTTTTGTGTCCTACTGTGCAGACCAGGACGTGTATCGGCGTTTTGAAAAGCATAATTATGTTCTTTCATTCATTCATTGCCATGGAATATGCGTTTACATTGTTTTTTCACTGTTAATAGCTCGGTTAATGCGGCTGGCGATCATCTTGCCGGCGGAAGTTTCATAGAAAAGGAATAAAAAGAAACACTTTTCCCGGAAATTATGTAATCAGCCTCTGTGGTGTAGTGGTTAGGTGTAGTCGCGTCGTGTCGAAGGTGCCGGGTTCGAGTCCTACCGAATTATTTATTCCTACTTTCTTTTTTTTCCTTTTTTTGTGTTGTTGTTTTCTATAAATATATAGCTAAATAACTGTTACTTAATAAAGTGCAACAAACAGCAAGAAAAGTATTGTGTTTCCAGAGAAAATATCGTGCACTGTATATTAAATATCTGGATAATCAATCTCAATTTCTATTATTTCCAACAATTTACTGTGGGAAAACCAGAGTTGATAACCACTTGATCATTTTCTAAACAACGTTCCCACGAGTTCTTTCTATAGACTGATAGTAACTATTCTAGTACTTTCCAACATGTAAATAGGACATTCAATGTCATTTTTGATTCTTTTAAGTCTCACTGCCTAACTAATGCCAGTATCAACAGAATGTGCCGCAGCATTACTATCTTTTAGATACCCTAGTATAAGATATACTAGTGTAATTGCAAGTGATTTTCTCTCTCAACATCTGAGTCCAAACCATGGACTTTGGAAGAGGGTTTCTACTTGATGGAGAGGACCTGCCTGAGAAGGTGGGCTGTAGAAAAGAGAGTTATTCTCTAGAGTTCATGTATGTTGATGTTGCCAGGGATTTTGTTGGAGTAGTTTTCCATGTCCTTCTTGATGGTGTCGAGGGCTCCCATAACCACTGGGACTGTTGTTGTTTTGTCTTTGTATGTGTTAAGTTTTTCCATAGTTTTGACTGAGGTGTTGGTGACGAAGGGTACAGTCTTGTCAATGAGAAGGCAGGTTTTGTCCTTCTTGCTCTTTAGCATAATGTCTGGCCTACTAGCTGCAATGGTCTTGTCAGTGTGGATGGGCATGTCCCACAGAATGGTGACGGTATCCTTCTCGACGACAGCCTTGGGTTCATGCTCATACCATTGTTCCTTCACCTCAATACCAAACTCTTTGCAGATCTTCCATTGCACCTGTGGAGCTGCCTTGTAGTGGCAGTGGATGTATTCAGTTTTAGCCAGCTCAGGGCAGCCAGAGACCAGATGGTCAATGGTCTCGTCGAAACGGCCACAAAGTCTGCATTTTGGGTCCATGTCAGGCTTCTTGAGGATGTTGTGATGGTGTCAGCATGTGGGGAGGCTTTAGTCTTGGGCTTATTATTATTATTATTATCATTATTATTTATTATTATTATTATTATTATTTCCTTTCCATGGTAATCCACATGGCTGCTTAAGTTCACTCACAGCATTACCAAGCAAAACAATAATTCATGATATGCAACATCTTAGTTTGAAAATCCAACGATTTGGTGGAAAACACGCAACGAAAACAGCATCTGCAGGTGCCCATAGAAAGGCTCACAGTCCACAAGTATCATACACTACTTTTTCAGTCCTAAGTCATGAGAAAAAGTTCTTTCATATCTATGCAAATCAAGGAAATGTGGTCCCCCAGTCAAGAGTTCAACATTTCTTCTTTGATGGAGACCCATCATAGTTAAATTAATGCAGTGAAAAGTTTGTAATAACTCTCTAAAATTGATGAAAACAAGAACTTCATAAGTCAAGAAATTAAGTGAAGGAAAAATGGCCATTATTGTATCGAAGAGTTACAATAATTACTTCAGCATACCTGTTTTTCCTGTCGTGTTTTACATAGAAATAATTATTCGCAAGCAAATCATGATTTTGCAAAAGTGGAAGAGGAGAACCTCAAAAGCAACACTAACAACAAAAAAAGATTAGAAAGGCAATTTCAGTGTTCAATCTGCGACAAAACTCCTGGTTACAAGATGCAGACATGTCTGCAACAAACGTTTACGTCACTATTTTATTATGTCACTTAAATCATATTGATCAGCAGAATCTCTTAGCCAATGTTGCATTTTGATGGTTTTTAGGCTTAAATAATTATCTTACGAATTAACCAGTATTATACATTTTTATTATGCTGAGCCCTGGGGCTTTGATATTGATTATTTTCTTCCACTTGCTAATGAGCCATTATGCTGAACTAGGGGGTACAATGTGAAGATTAACTGAACTGGAGAGCAGGCATCTGGATCAAAAATCCAGAGTTTATCAATTTTATCAGATAACAGGCTTGCCTATTCTTTTAGGCTAAAACTCAACAAGTTTAATCACATCTTTTCAACCCATCTACAAGTATCAATACAATTCTGCATTCCTTCCGTGCTTCATACACATGTGCAGCAAACTTAGTTTGGCTAATTCAAAAAAAGTGATAAAATCCAGCATCAATACTGGTTAAATAATTACAAGTTAAAGACTATAATTTTGGCGAAAAGGTAGACTGATTCTGTTATTGACATTCTGTTATTCTTTTATTCTGTTTGAACTATAACCAAGCAAATGCAGTCGCACAAATATGGAACCAATATTGTGACCAGCATAGAGTTTTTACTTGCGGTGTATTATCCCAACAAATATTAATATTTTTTTCCAATGTTTTGTAAAAGTGAGTTACGTTTAAGTTCAGTCTTTAGGTTGTTTGGCAGGCTAGGTGTTAATTCATACACACAATAAAGACGTGAAATATTGTTAATTATGTAAACAATAAACAGTCTGTACCAATACAGCACTGAAGCATCAGCATTCGTACGTGATGATTGAGTTCTATCTTTTGAAATCACAGTTCCCCACATTCTGTATTTTTTGTTTGTTTTGTAGGGCAAGGCTATGATAGAGAAGCAAACTACACTACAGCGTCCTGTGTGCGTCCCGGCACCTGGTCCTTCACAGGGACTATGCCATCTATTGAGACTGGAATGGCAATGGTATGATTGAAGTGATGACTGTAAATTGCCGGATTAGAGATGAAAATAGAGAATCTCATACATTAAAGAATTGGCATTGCCATTTGATTGCCTAAGACTGGCTATTTTGTCTCAATGAAACCAGTAAATCTGTATCGTTTGAGTGCTGTGAATTAAATTTGTAAATACTCTTTAATTTTGCTTGGTAAAGGGGCTAGTATCCAATATGCTAATTTACTGACACAAATATATGTAATATGTTACAGGTCAAAGTTTGATTTCAGATGAATTTTGATTTAAGCTAGGTTGATTCTCAATTTCCTTTGTCTCCTATCCCTCCAGGAGACAAAGGAAATGATAATTATTTTACCTGAAATCAAATTTAACCTGTAACATTTTAAAACTGTATACAAGACTTACCCTACTTTCTTGAAAGCTTAATTAAGAGTAGAACGATCTCAGTAGACCATATTACATCCTGTATGGTTATAGGCTTAGGATCCAAGCCCCTGAGTAAACAAGAGGCTAGGGTTGACCTTGTTTCCACACAAAGCTCCTTCCTTTTCTTATGGAACTTATGCTTAAAAAATACTCAGTGATAAAATGACAAGAAGAGCTAAGTTTCACACCTAAGCTTCATCAAGAATAATCAGGGATTATGAGGAAAAATTAACCCTGTTTCAAAGTCAAACTGAAGAAAAATATACCCCTTTTCCAGAGATAAAGGGTAATTTTGATACCCTTTTTCAGAAACAGAGAGGCAAGAAACCTACATAATTGAGCGGCACATGCCCATATAACTCATATGTAGGAGTGGCCACCCGCCCCCCCCGCTCTTGCCTCGGCACTGCTACATTATACACTTTCTATACACTTTCTAATTTAATTGCTTCATGTTATTATGCTCATGAAATGTAGGAAAACTTCAGTGATAATACATGAAGTCTCATTTAATGTAGCACGTTCTTCATTCCGCCAGTGAACAGGTCAAGAGCCCATCTTTATAATCCATTTCTTTTGTCTTCACCAACAGAAAGAGCAAAATCAATTTTTTGATTTTATTGGAAAATTGCAGGTGAGATATTTTTATTCTTAAATCAGCAACTTTCCTCTGCAGATGAGAGCAAATAATATTATGTTATGTTGTAACAAAGATTTTTTTATAAATAAGATTCCAGGGCAATAACTAGAAAAAAACTAAGTGATGATGTTTATTGTTTTTCTGAGAAGCATTGATCAAGCATTGGTCAGCGATTTTGAATAATGAATAAAACAGGACAGGTTCTAACAGTGTGATTTTTTTTTTCAGTCAAATCGTATTGATGAACAGAGGGCTGAATTGCCTCTATCATTAAGAAATTCTGCGTATATACCACCACTTGTCATTGGAAAAACAGAAAATAGCAAGGATACAGAAGAGGCCAGCGTACATGTAAGTAGTAATGCTGAGCACAGTGGAACCTGAATATAACAAACCTCTACATAATAAAGTCTTTGGTGTAACTAATGATATCCTTTGCACCAGTCCTTTGACCCTTCTTTATAACGAGGTTCCACTGAAATTTATTATTGTATGTCATATTTCAAACAATGTTTACTTTCATTTGCAGATTGCCTTTTGATAACAAATTTTTTGTATTATGCAAACCATTGGTGTCTTTTAATAGTCTTTTATGATATGTATATTAATTAGCTCAAGTAACCATGACGGGAAAAGCAATGGAAACAATGTCTCCTCAGAAATGAAGAATATGCACTATTTCAAACTTCACTACCATTATTCCAACTCTTTCATTTTCTTAAAAAAATGTGATAATAATGTACAATAATATTTTATTTTTCTGCAATTTAGAGTGATAATTCAAGAGACGAAGACGTGACTGATCTAGAATACGAAGAGGAAGAAATGAGGGACCTTGATCCTGTCAAAGAGGTATTCATTATGATAAATAGTAAACTCGTGGCAAATCTTAGGTTAATCATGGCATTTTTAAAAAGTGCCCATTCCCTAATCAATTTGCAACCTGTGTTTGTAATCCGTAACAATTTTAATAGTTAGTGTTTATGGTCTTCTTTATGTTAAAGTGTGATGAACTTAATTATTTTATGTCATTTTATTAGTTTGACCTATTACATAATACATAAAAACAAATAATAATCAATACATGTACTTAATTAGGCAGGGATGCCACAACAGCAGTAAGCCAGTTACAGTATACACTCCATTTTCTGTATATTCACCTCTTTCACACTATTGTCAGAGCACTGGGGACTGCCAATAGTGTAACGGTGCTTTCCAAAATTCAGGGTTAGGGTTAGATCAGTTTTTTTTTACTTTAACTCATCACTTCTGTGCGTAACATTTAAGAATAAACTGATATGGTTGGATAATCCCGATTAAAAGTGGAATCCCCCTCATGCCTTAACTGGTCTGGCAAGGCCATTCTGACGTAATGGTAAGCGCACCCTAAGTATTCTTCAGCTTGACACAGATTTATCTTTGCTATAATCTCAGGTGTTAGCTGCAGGAGGTCCCTATCCACTTGTCGTTCTCCCCGTTGGAGGTGAATACTGGCTTGAAGGAAGCAATCATCATGTGGTTACCAGCTTTGATTTGAAATCAGTTGACTGCAAGATAGAGACAAATGACATACTGCAAAGCTACAGGCGAGATTTCATAGGAAAGGTGTGAACAGTCTACCCGCCGCTAATCATAGTGCTTAGGCTGTCACCATTCTTAAACCATCGGTATTATCGTTATCATTAGGATGCCGTTCATCATCAGTTAGAAGATACTGTAATCCTCATAATCATATAACAAAATCCTCAAATCTGATTGGCTATCAACTGTCCTCATTTCAGCACAAATAAGACAGTATAATAGGACAGTACAAATGTCATGTCTAGTAAAATCAGTACGCGCTATCGCGCGTGCACTTGAATCGGTTTTTTCACTTTTAGTGAAAAACCTCTTGGAATATCCTGTGTTTTAATTTTGGAAAAACTTAAAATATCACTAAATTTGTTATAGGTTTATGATTGGCAACAGAACTTTGTGTCATCCAATAAGGTCTATAATTATAATAGGGATTAAACACATTGGACTCTCCCTATGCGGTCGTCTAATTTTGTTAATCACTTGTATGATTACAGACCAAATTGGACTCCACTCAGTTCTACATGTTTTACAATGTACCATTATTAAAAGACATTTATCTCAATAGAGAAGAGAATTGATGACATCATGAAAACTAAATTTGAAATTATGAGGTTGGTTAGCATATCCAGAAAGAGTAAGATGAAAAATTTCCACTTGCTGAAAATCAGCAAGATTTAAGCACTAATATGCTCTGATGACTCCACATAAATCCTTCTAAATTTTAATAGGCCCGGATTGCAAACATTACAAATTCTCCATAATGATCTCCACTCTTTTCCCTGAAGAATTAGTAGAGGTTATAAAAATAAGATCAAAGCATTAATTTTTCTCTTTAAGGATCATATTATTGATTCTCCTAACCTTTCTATTTGATTGTGTACTGATATATTTAGGAGAAAATTGATGTTGGTCATTAACTTAGGGCTTAATGAGATAATATAAGGAGAATAGTTACAGAAAGATGACTGAAAAATGGAGAGGAAGGGACCAACAACAGGAAAAAGTTGATTGTATTCTCATGAACATGTTTATGTTGCAGGAACATTTGAACTTTATTTGCGATGATGAAAAGCTTGGTCCAGTGATTCTGTCCGTGAAACAGGAAATCGAGAAGCTGGATGGCTGTGATACACAAGGATTTATCAGAGTTATTCTAAGGTACTGTTTAGACTGGCTTTCCTTCTTTAGGCTATAAACATGCATGGTTGATACATGTGCAGACTGCAGTAGATTGTGATGCAAATGACAAAGTTTGGTGGTATACTTGCCAGTATGTGCTTCAGACATTGATATAACTAAGCTACAAAAAAAATTATTATACCAGTCAATGTTAACTTACTAGTTGGGTTTTATCAATTTTTGTTAAATAAATAATTACATTTTCTTCACTATTAATTTGATAATTTTTTTGTCATTTTTATCTCATTCTTTTGTATCAGAACTACAGAAAAGACAATTGCAGACTCACTACCCATAGAAAATCTATCAGAGAATCCAGGACCAAGAGAAATTATCAAGGTATATAATGCTGTTTTCAAAATACCAACTGTTTTGGTCTTGATGTAAATGTAAAGTTCTATAATTATTGTCCAGGTACTGTAAGGCTTAACCAGCCTTGTAAGACTTGCCAGCATGGGTTTTGTTTGCCTTATGTAAATAGCAATACTTTGCACCCAGAAATATATCTTACCCTTGGTTTTACTGTCCTTTTCTCTCTCTTTTAACCTTTTAGAACCTTCCAGTGTGTTTGAGTCTCTGTATGGGTACCTGTAGATGTCCTTTTTATTGTGCATTTTCCACTATATAAATCCTCAAGTTTTCCAAAAAAGTTGTTCCATAATATTAAGAATTGTTTCACATGGTAACGCTACTAGTGAGCTAAAGCAACTGCGATGGCGACAAAGGAAAGGAGAAAATAAAAAAGCCACAGGTTTTATAAGCAACACAAAAATTCTGAACGTACATGTACAGCACAGCACACTTTTTAGCAGATTTATTTGCCATCATCACACAACTAATGTTGTGAAACTTGATCAGAATGGCAATGCAATCATCATTTTAATCTCTAAAATCAATTTGCTTCAGTTTCCTCTTAAGTACCCATAGAGAGTCTCATGATTTTCTTTTGATTTTAACTAAATGAATAAGACTTACATGGTAGTACACCCATCAGTGTGGTTCTTTCTCTACCATACATTTCAATTTGATGAAATGTACCTGGTATGTTGGTTTTTGGGGAAAAGGGGTTAGCCAGAGCACTTGGAGAAAAACTTCATGGTGCAGGGAAGAGAATCAACAACAAACCCAAGCCAAATACATGTACTTCCATAATGGCTTTGATGGGGGAATAGAAACTCATGCCACTTTGGTAGGAGTGGAGCACTGTTATTCCTGCAAAATGCTTGCACACTCCCCCAAAGAATTCTCCTTCTAACTTGCTTCTCATTTTTTTCCCTTGACGAGAAAACCAGTTTAACCAAATTGAAAAGACCTACCGTATTGAGGATGTACTGTGCTCAACTTGCCGCTATTCTATTCATTGTCACTGTTTTTCATAGTCCTACTACAACCACTATTACGTCTTTTAATTTATATTTATGTATATACGAATACATGTTCATTTATAGTACATATTTTGCCCCTATTCGTCGATTTATATAATATTCATTATGTGTTTATAGCCTATACTACTTTAAATATTGTCTCTTTTGTATATATATATATATATATATTTATAAATTTATTTGTTTTTAGTTTTCTAAATTTATTTATCTATTTATTTATTTTTTGAGGGCCGTAGGTTAGAAAACTGTAATAGGTTATTGCGCTTCCCTCTTTAAATAAAGTTATTGTATTGTATTGTATGGAGGGTTATGCATTTTGTTTTGCAATTGAAAGGATGTTGTTTGATTTTCTTTGTTTTAAGTATCTTCTGGGAGAAGATGGAGAAAATGTGGACCAGTTCCAAGTTTTGGCACACCCTAAGGTACATACATGTGTTGTGAAACAGAGAAAAATTTGATACATGTGTTGTGAAACAGAGAAAAATTTGATTCCATTAAAACTTTCAGTATATTCTCAATAAAATGCAGGTCTTTGTAAGCATTAAAATAGGCAGTTCAAGGTAGTTATGGTGTTAATTGTTCCTTATTTCAAAACAAAAGTCTTGTCATATCAATGTTATGATAACAAAGTAAACCTGATGTGCCCATGAGATGGAATCATTGTTCTCTCTTATACATCATAAGGACTGAAAACAATTGAGAAATGGAAAATTTTGTTTCTTTGCTTTCAGATGTACAAAAGCTATCTGGCTAATCTCATGTATTTATTGATTAAATATAATAATTAAGAATTATTTTTAGTTTTCTGCAGACTTAGTGTCCTATAATCTTTGTGTGAAAAGAAACATTTCAATGATTACTTTTTGTGCTTTTTGCTTCTCCTCTTGATGGTTATAGGCCTCAGAACTGATTGTGAAGTATGATGAACACAACTTATCCCACGCCTTCAAGTTTGGAGTGATTTATCAGAAAAAGGGCCAGGTAATATTACAATTACAAAAAGTTCAGACAGAAAACAAATACAATAAACTTGTTGTAATTTTGACACACAGCCTGTTAGCTCAAAATGAAATCAGCCTAGTTTGAATTTCAGTTTTATTGGTCCCCTCACCCTAATTATTCATGATTATGAATAATTATACGAAAAAAGGAAATTGGTTGCATTACATGATCATTAATAATCTTGAATAATAAAAGCACTTATAGGAGACAGTAAAAAATCAAACTACTTGGTTAAAACCATTTTCTAACCCATGAATTCCATTTTGAATGGTATTGTAGATGAATAAGTTGGTAAATTTTCCAGGGTTGTATTTCTGTTTCGCTAGACAGGCATTAGTTATGATTGGTTGATGGTATTCAAAGCAACCATTAACCGATCTTTAGTAAAACTTGTCCACCAAAACGAAATTATTGTGCCAAAAGCACCCATTACTCTTAAATTTTCTAGAGTGGGGAATTAGCATTTTGTAAAGTAGGCTCTTTGTTTTGATTGCAGACAACAGAAGAAGAATATTTCTGTAACCGAACTCACAGTGCTGGCATGAATGAGTTTCTAGAGATGATGGGTGACCGGGTCACCCTCCAGAATTTCAAAGGGTAAGCTTTTATATAATAGTTATATTAAGTGCAAAGCCTGTAATTATCCATCACACCCCACCCCACCCACCCCACCCTTCCCCTCGTGACCTCAGAAAGGTTGTTGGATATTCTAAGAAGAGAGGTTGGTGAGGGGGAGGGGGTAAACTGCCAAATTGGAATTGTATTTTTCAAAATACTAGGAAACAAATGGCATCATTGAAAAGTACTTATTGTGAGCTTCTGAACTTAATGGTGACGTTCACAGATCTGCGGATTTTTTCTCCAAACGTTTTATCGAGCAGTCCATTGTCCTCGTTCTCCATAAGAAAGTGATAATTTATACCATAATTTCTCTCTTTCAGGTTTAATGGTGGCTTAGATGTAAAGCATGGTCAAACAGGGGAGACATCCATTCATTCAGTCTTCGATTCCAAGTATGAAAGTGATAAGCTCTTTAGCCAGTTGTTTTAAATGAATGTCTATTTGATCTTGTCATAAAGAAAAGATCTTGAATCCAAAGAGAAAATCTCATAATTTTTACAAATATCTTTTCAAACATGATGTTTGCCTATAAATAGAATTTAACTTGCCAGAGAATGTATAATTCACGGTGCAGTTGCTTCAAGTATCTTTAAGTTAAACATGCAATTATCTGTGAAATAGTCATGTGCTTAGTGTTAATACATAGCTACAACCAGTTTAGATAATTATTTCAATGTTGCATTTTTGTTTTCTAGTGTTTTTTTAATTTACTCACAGAGATTGTTTTTCTCACTTTATTGGTTATATTTTCCTTATGTATGTTGACTGTTGTTTTTTGTTTGTCCTCAGGGAAATTATGTTCCACGTTTCCACCCTTCTACCATTTAGTAATGGTGATAGTCAACAGGTAATAATGGACGTTACAGTGCCGTCTCTAAGAAACGGGGTCAGGGGTTTCCCCGGCTACTATAACCATGACCCCCCGGCTACTTTCAAGCAAGTCTGTGACTGAGGAAAATCAAAGAACATTTCCATTGATCTGTTCAACACGCCCCCCTGCAAAGTGGCCAAAGCCACAATACAACAAAGTTTCAATGTGTGATGTTGACTGTGTAGCAGCTGCTTGAAGGAGAAGTCACCAATGGTGCCTAACCCTGACCCCAAACAGTACTGAAACAATTGAAAGAATGACATGTCATTGTTTTCTGCAACCAATCAGGAGAGACCTTACGACGCAGCTCCTACACAACTGCCTGAAAGTTCTGCCAAGTAGGTTTAATTTCAATGGTGACACCAAAGGATTTTGTCCACGTTTTAAAAGTCAGAACTACAAAACTTAATCATTCACTGCGACCGAAAGGATTGAGAGAGTGTTGAATTGCCAGATAGGTTGTATAACTACAAACTCTCGTCTAAATAGAAAGTATTTGGTTACGTTTGTATTACGAGTGTCCTTCACAATGTACAGTGTATCTTAACCAATTTTTTTGTACAAATTGTAGGTGCAAAGAAAGAGGCACATTGGCAATGATATTGTTGCAATTGTTTTCCAAGTAAGTAACAGCACAGCTTCCGATCGTATTAAACCCCTATACCCCAATATAAACACCTACATATTTTTTTTTTTTACTTGCCTCCATAAATTTCTTATAGCGTAAGCTACTTTAGGAGAAGTTGTTAAAAGATCAACACAAAAGTTTTGGGTTGTTATTGGCTTAAATCTCATGACTTTATTTCTTGATTATGCCGTGATTTTGTGAAGAGAATTTAATAACCGTCACTACTGGGGCTACGTGTTTGTGATCACGGTGGGAAAATGTTTAGACGGATCATTGTGATAGTTACAGTATTTAAAGGGGACGCGTTGCAGGGTCGCCTTGTGGCTGCCTAGCTCAGTTTGTTAGTATTGCCAATTACGTGTCCTTACCCTACAGAACTTCAAGTTAAAGAAGAAATTACTTGTAAATGACAGCATCACAGCTTTGTCTCAAAAAAAATGTCTCTAGCAGTATATCAAACGTTCCAAACAACAAAAATGAACTTTGAATGTCAGGTTAAGAAGTTTTCAAACATCAAAATTGCGGGCCGTTTGATCTTCTTCAAGTTTTTCCACCCGTGCCTTATAGCGGTTATTTTTGTGTTTTGCTCAATACGCCATTTCCGAGTTGCAAAAACTCTCACCTGACTTTAGTAAAAAGAGGCTAAGAGCAAAACCTTTCTTCTGAATATGAGTTTTATTTGCATGAGAATTTTCATATCAATGGCCTCGCAGTTAGCCTCGCTTTGAAACAGAGACTTGGGACAACTCGGGAATGGACTATTCGGCGACAGTTTCTTCTGTTTGAATTTTGGTGAATTCTAACTCAGCTCCTTTAAAGAAACAGAGAAGCCCACATTTTAGTTATTCCTTACTGAATTTACATTGATTCCAGTTGTCAGATTTCAAATCATGCTTCTGATTTATTTCAGGATGAAAACACCCCGTTTTCTCCGGTTTCTATCCGATCCCATTTTTTACACGTGTTTATAGTGGTTCAAGTTGAAGAGCCAAATACAAGTAACACAAGATACAAGGTACAGAGTGAATAATAACAGAAATTATCGCGACACTTAACACCAGTTCTGTCACTGACAACACTTTTTTGGATTTTATTTCAGGTCTCTGTGACTGCCCGCGAAGATGTTCCACATTTTGGACCCAAACTCCCTAATCCTGCCGTCTTTAAAAAGGTGTGTGCTCATGTGATCTCATTTCGTTGTACCTTAAAGTTAACGTAACTACTGTCCACCAACAAAAGAGATTTTTGTGCTTATTAATTTTCTTGGAATAAATTTTTTTATTTATTTATTTATTTTTTGCCCCTTTTTCCAGTGTGATGTTTCGTTGCTACTTCGCTGCTATGTTTCGCTGCTACTTTTTGTCTTAACAAAATTACACTTGTCGACTTTATTAACGCGATTTCCTTCGAGAGTCATGCACTTACTGACTATTCCTTTATACTCTTCTTGGTGTTTTCGTCTTCGTGGTAAATGAAATTCCTTGAAATAAAACAAAACCTGAATCATTTGACCGTGATGTAATTTTAGCGGAGCTCTCTCGCGCGCGAAGCACGCGACGCAGAGAACCATGGTTAACCAAAAAATGGGGTTACCTATGCATCCGAAAAATTTTAGTAATCACGTGAACGTTCGTCCACCCTCCTGCGAGTCCTTTCGCACCACAGGAATACCAATCTAAAATAACTCAATCAACACGTATGGCAAGACAAATGGTACTCGAGGTTTTTGGCGCGAAATTGCGTGGCCACCCGGACTTTTAGGGAGAAAAAACAACAACAGTGCCGAGTTTTTTTCGACGAAGTTTTACTGTCTACACTGGCGTGGATAACAGAGAAAAACCAGAGCGAGAGATAACAGACAAAGGAGACGAATTTTGTTGGAAAAACAACATGAAAATTTTATATCGGCGGTGAGAAAATGAGAAATGCTAGCGGTCAGCAAGGAGAAACCAGCTAGGTAAAAATGATTAGCAGTGAAAAAAAAAAGTGAACAAGAGCACAAGCAACAAAATCTTTGGTGAGCACATACGACCACACGACATTTTATTTTCATGAAGTGTGTAACTAGAAAGTGTCACGTCGTGGTCGTACAAGACAACGGCAAAGAAATGTTCAAAAAAGTGTGCTGCTCCTGCAAAGTTGTGTTTTTGTTGATAATTTGACTATTAATTTTTTTGGCCAGATCTCGTTGCCATCACCGTTTAGCATTGCTCGATTTTATTTTTTGTTTGAGTAAATTATAAGTATATTAACGAGAGCTTCGCTCTTAACCCTGGCTAAATCTATATGTTATTATGGACAAGAAGGTAATTAGCCCAGGTAGAAAGGAGTCTTCATCCGACAATAATCAGAACTATCATCTTTGATGCGTTTAAACCTTGTGTTTCTTTAAGGGCCCCGAGTTCCGCAAGTTTCTATTAACGAAGCTAATCAATGCAGAGTTAGCTGCTTACAACAGTGCCAAGTTTACTGAATTAAGGGTGAGTACAAATCTGCTATAGTTTATTTGTTAACATCGATTAAAAGCCTCTCCCGACCGAAGCATCATGCAGGATTATTACGTCCATGGGTACAGCTTTACGTCCGTAATCCTAAATATTAGAACCTCTAGGTACAGTTTTGCGCCAATCGCTAACCTTATTGCGTACCGTACCAAACGGTTTGCAAAAATTGCGACCTAAGTTTAGAACTCATGCGCCAACCTTCGTAACTCAATTGTTCGGTTTATGTTTCAGGATCGAACGCGCTCCAGTTTACTGCGAGGCTTGGCAAGTGATTTACTAGAAAAGAACGCCCTTATACTTGACGCAGGTTACGAGGAGGTACTTAAATTGATAGTTTTTCGGTTTTTGTTACATTACTGCGTTTTCTTTTGTGGAAAACCTGAGATCTATGAAGTCACTTTTACACAAAACAATTCACTTTGTAAAAGTCGCTGTGTTTTTTGTTGCACCAGGTTGCGCCAAAGAACCGCGGTCAACTTTTCAAAACAATTCGAACGGCGTGGCGGGGCAGAAGCCCCATGAATCGCACAATGTCCATGAGAGAAACACACACAACAGCTGATGATCCGGATTCTGATGACAGTCTTCCTAAATCCTGGGCAAAGAAGGTGAGCGGGTAAAGATTAACTTTACAATCCGAGGGAGTTCTCAGTTCAGTTCTCAGTTCGAGTCTTAGGGCAAAATCCTATGGTGTTACCATTCAAATGAAACCCCTTAAGCGGTACTGTCACATAATACTATTTATTTAGTATGTAGTTCTAACTTTTGAGTCTGTGGATGAAATCCTATGGTGTTACCATTCAAATGAAACGCCTTTAGCAGTACTTTCACATGGTACTGTTTATTTTGTATGTAGTTCAAACTGTATGTGGATAAAATCCTATGGTGTTACCATTCAAACGAAACCTCTCGTATAGTTCTTTCACGTGGTACTATTTATTTTCAGTATTTTAGAAAATAAAATGTGGAACTTCTTTCTTTAATTTTAAGCTAAGGTGTGGTCTTGTATAATGTTAGACACCTTGCATGACCCAGTTGTTCAAAAAGTGAATACTAAAAACGTTGTAAATTTTTCACCGAAAAAATTGTATACCGTCATATACATCGCCTTCAGCAGTTTGAAATAACACGTTGTTTCTGTTGTACAGGTCTAACCAGTTTGCGTTAATTCAGCGCCCGATTAGGCATATAATTTTAATTAACTTTCCCTTAGGCAAAGGAAAGAAGAAAATCTGTTCAGAGTCTGTTGGCAGCCAAGAAATCATCGAAGCCTCAGAAAAAGTAAGTTTGATAATTGAATTTGATTTAGCTCGTCTACTTTCGCTTCTTCGACCCCAAAAGGAAACTTGACTGTAAGTTCCCACTTCGAAAAATGTTTCAGAGCCGGATTTGGAGCTCCTTTAGTGAGCAAAACACAGTGTACCACTGGGTACAATTTTGTTGTTCTAGTCAGGGTTAATATATTCCAGTTTTCTAGGGCTGATTTGGACAGGCTGATATGAGAGCCAGAGTGGGCTAAAAGGGATATTTGATGGCCTGTTTTGGTTCAAATTGTGCTCAAATGGCTTGGCGAGACACTAGGTCATACTGCAGACCTAAATAAGAACTTTTGGTGTTGAAACACGTTTTTTAGTGAACTTCGGACCAGAGTGGTCAAAGATTTGGGGGGGAAATGTCGGTCCATTTTTTTCTTTGGTCACTCCAACCTGGTGGCGATTCGTCTAAGATTTGCCCCCTAAAGCGATATCACCCTATGGTGTAGACACCTTGTTACACTTCCAACGATTTCCTTAAGGTCAACGATCAGATTGATTTATAGATAACCTTATTCAGTTATCAAACAAACTTGGTTTATGGTCATTGTTTTTAAACATAGGCCTTCAGGCATGGGTATCCTTTTTCCGTGAATGTATTACACGCTGGGGTAGGATCTTTGGTTCCGATGGGAAAATATATAGCGATCAATGACCTCACAGCCACAGGAGAAGAATATCGAGGCACTTTCGTATACGACCGATCCAGGCGGAAATTCCGTGCAGGAATCCAATTGGAACCTAAATTCCTGAAACGTGTGGAAATTTTTTTTCCCGTTTGTTACGTTTTGGGAGATAACCAGATTGACCGAATATTGCGTTTCAACAAACAAAATAAAAATTTAGTTTAGTCTTCCCATTTAAAAATTTGTGTTCGTCATAAGTAAGGCGAATGATGAAACAGTAATTTTCTACCTAATAGCAGCGCCACAAATATTCAAAATGTGAGTTTAATGTGTGATATTTTACGCCATAAACTATATCGTTTGACGCTCAATTCAAAAAGTTCTCGCCATTGAAGCATTTGAGAAAAGACAATTGAAGTCGCTAGTGGACGATGCAGTTTGTCGTGCGTTGAAGTCCTTCACATAAGGTTACAATGGCAAATGTCACGTCATCGATGAGAAGAAGAGGGCAATTCAACAACATTATACCCAAAAAAGTTGTATGGGTACAACGTTGTTGATTTGCTTATCAAACCTGTCGCTTTGATCTGTTTGATCTGGAATTTGGTCACCTCGCCACCCGGCAGACCTTCTCGCCAGAGAGACTATCACCCTTCAACATCCAAAAGGAAACATCAAAGTGTTATTGGTCGCAGGATTAACAATTGCGTTGATTGTTCCAAATCAGTGCATTGTTGTCGTTGAAAGAACTTTGTATTGTATTTGTTACGGAAGAAAAGAGTTGACATGATCTCAACACGTCGTAACGAGAAAACCAGTAAAATACAAAAAAATAATAAATTCGCCTTTATTTACCCTTGGTAGTATTTAAAGCACCAATGCTAGTGGGCCCGAGCAAATACCTGAAACAAATAATTTAAAGCATACATATTAAATGGGGGATAAGAATCCCAACTGACCGGAGGCAAAACAATTGGCTATTTACAAGCGTGATCGAGGATTTGAACTCGGGACTACCGAGAACAAGTCGAGCTAGCTGTCAGGGGGGGGATTTGAATTCGTGATCTCCGAATTGCAAGTCCAGCGCTCTGACCGCTCGGCCACGCTGCCCCTCACTACTGAGTACAAGTGGGTTAATGCTCAGTTTTGTCTGTGTTCTGTCTTTCAGGGAGAGCGCAGTCCGCTGTAAAAGTATGGAGTCACTTACCCAAGAGCAGAACAAGAACAGTACGGTGTTTTACACTACAGCAGAAGATTCCAGTTCAGAATCCAACATTTCCGAGTTGTCACGGAATCGTGACGAGGAGACGACGTACTCAAGAAAGCAAGTGGCACGATCTCGTACCCCAGAACCACGAAGAGATAAGAACACCAGCGATTTCACAACTTCGCCCCAGATATCACCGCGCTTGCGCAGACCCGTGGCACTTGCGCGGTCGGTGCCAGCGTTGGGTGATCCAGATCGTGGCCCGAGGTCTGCTTCTCGGGTCTCCGACTCTTCGGTCTCGTCTCGGGTGTCTTACGAGGGAAGTTCAGTTGTGGAATACCAAGTTCGATATGTCGGAGGGTATCGCTCGGGTTCCGAAGATAACGCGGATGAACCGATAAGACTTTTACCGTACGATAGATCGCCGATGCATTCCCGAAGGGACAGTTTAGAAGCTCGACTAAGCGACGATTATTATCAGGTAAACTCGAGTGCTTCAGAATACTCCATATCGTACACGGAGTCACCGCGCAGATCTCGAGATGAGAGAGTGGAGTCTCCTGTGATCTTTAGTAGATCACCAACCAGCTCACCGCATCTCCGTCGAAAAGCTGTGAATGCTCAGAGCAGTCCCAAGCACCCCTCCTTCGCCGACTCGCCTCCAGTCCCTGCGCAGAAACAAAAGAAAACTGCCATTGTTTCTCCTTTGTTGGATATTGCGGATTCCAGGCCCCGCTCTGTGCCACCAGGTGTTTTTGATCCGTCTGATCCAGAGTCCGAGAGAGTTGAGCAGGTTAGTTCGGCAGTCACGGGATTTCATGGGTCTAGAAGTTGATTTCCAAAGTCGCTTAATTTTTTCGTGCTAACGCGCGTAAATGAAAATAGAGGCAATGTATGAAAGGTCACGCGTAAACGGAAAAGTTGAGCGAGGTTCAACTTTTACGTGAACGCGTGACCTTCCATACATTGTCTTTATTCTATTTACGCGCGTAAACTTTACTTAAGTACGCACGTCAAATATACGCGACAGTGGTAATCACCTTAACTTTTTGAAGCCACCAAGTTTGATACCCTTAGCAAAAAGAGAGATGGTACTAAAACGAGAAAACGAAAAATGGGAACATGACGTAACTTACCCTCACCCTATCAGTAACTTCATTACCAATTTTCCCTTTTCCCACTCTTCGCTTCCCGTTCCCGTGTTGTCAGACCCCAATTTTTTTTTTTTTTTATCATATCCTTGCCAGTCAAATCAGACTACTTCAGCGTACGTTTATTCGTTTCACTTAATATAAACGGTAAGATACAACTGGAGATTTTTTTTCTCTGATTTGTAGTATTCGCCTTCCGTGAAATTTAAAAAGTTGACCCTTAGCCAAATTTTTTTTGTGCTTGCGTCTTCGTTCATAAATTTCAAATTCTGTCTCCAAAAAATATTTAAAAATTGACGGTAACGCCGCTGACAAGTAAGGCCCAAGTGACTAAGTTGACTTGTTGAAAAGTAAAGTAGGTGAACAACGATGAAAGGTTTTAGCCATTCAAAAGCGTGCAAATGGTGAAGGAATTTATTTTCGTCGCACTATGTTTAGAGTGACTTGGCTCATTTGAGAAATATTTATATAAAAAAAATGTGTGGTAGCATTATACCTGTTCTGCAGTAAATCTCTCTTTTTCATGTGCTTGATAACCATAGTAAATTGTTAAATCGTTTCTTCAGGTGTTTTTGGAAAGATCATCGTCTCTTCCCAAATTAGATAGTGACAGTCTGTTATCGACTGAGGATTTATCTTCCAGTGGTGAGTACTTGACATTTATCAATAATTATTCCATCTCACTTGACAGCAGGATAGTTAGCTCAGTCAGTAAAGCGTTGGTCTGTGCAACGGAATGTCGCGGGTTCCATTCCCGGGCCGGACTGTGGAAGAAGGTACTGTCTGTGCCCTGTAAACCGGTAGACATTCCGGAATGGCTCGTATAGATACCTTGAAAAGTCGGTCTCGTCTCCAAAAGATTGTGTCCTCAGTTAGTTCTTGCGTGCTAAATATTTGGACCCTTGAAACTGATTAAGAAGGTTTTGCAGTTTTTTAAGACGGACAGACCTGTATTGTAATGCCCACAATATTATGTAGCCTTAGAATTCGGAATTCTGTGTTTGATTAATCCTTGTACAATCCCTTTTGTACGGGTCAGTGATAATAATTTCTTGTTAATAAACTTAATCGTTTTTGCTCAAATGTTATGACAGAAACAAATAATTTAAGTAACCTTTGCGCCGGCACGAAAAACATCCCGGATGGGGCTTCTCTTCCTACATACCAACGGTGATCTCCGCGCCCATCTGAAAGTCTTTCGTCGCAGTGTGAAATGAGTAGGAGTGAGGACTGGAACCCAGTCGAGGGAAGTAAATATTCAGAGTTGAGGATTAGGATCTAGTGTACCAAACCCTCTCGGCCAACTGCTCCGGTGACGATGTTCCATGTGTGCGAACGACGTGCTCCAGTTCATTATCATTGCCCTTTTAATTCATGTTTTTTGAATATGTTATAGCTTTAGTATGCTAAAACGTTCTTAACATTTTCTTTTGTTTGTCGTTTCTTTTTAGAATCTTTCTCCAGGCAAATCGAAATGTTTAAAAACGAGATCGCTAGACTGAAATGCGAGAAACTCGACCTGGTCCGGCAAAACGCGGTAAGTATAAATCTCCCATAGTGTTAAAATTCTCTGTTTTTGCATTGCCATCATGCCATTTTTCTTTGCTCCCCGACGCCGTCGTCGTTGCTAAAGCTCCACGCTCCCTCGAGTAAAATTTCACTCCCTGCGCATCTAATTTGACTTTTTGATAAGAATTTGGGAAATTTTCGTCAAAATCGCCTCCTTTCATAGGACCTCTTTTGACAAACTTTGGGAACTTTTCGCCCAATTCCATTGTGACCGAGTTTAACCTGACTAAAGGCTTGTGTTTTTCTTTAGTTATTACAGCGTCAAAACCGTGACATACAGGACCGTGCCATGCAGCAAACAGTGGACCTGTACGAATCTCGATGTGAAATCGCTCGACTGAGGTCTCTGCTCCCCAGTGAAAATATCCCGCCGAGGGGCCCCTCCCGTAGAGAAACGGTAACAGTGCGTGAGGCAAGTATGGCTACCCCTAAAGGGAATCCTTCTCGTAGAGACTTCGTAGGTGGAGTTTATGTGAGAGAAGGAGATGAAACGGGAAGTTCAAGGTTATCCAATCGATTTACACAGCTCTAAAGCTCCAGAATGTTAATAGAAACAGATAGTAAATAGCGTCTATATTACATAGTTAAGTCAAGTGGAAACATTCTTTTTGGCAAATCCAACTCCGTGTTAACTTTTCTTTCGTATGTATTCCATCTCCACATTGGCAGTGGCGCTCTTTTTATTCGCTTAGTTCAGGGGTGTGTACATTCATAACCCTTTCAGTCCCAGAAGTGGCCAAAGTCAAAAGTAAACATTTCCCAGTTTCGCTCACTGAAATATTGAAAAACAAATACTGTAGCACCATGTGAAAGGTCACACCATAAAATTCCATCCACGGACTCAAAAGTTAGAATAACAGACTAAGTAAATAGTACCGTGTGAAAGTGCCGCTGAAGAGGTTTCATTTGAATGTTAACACCATATGATTTTATTCACAGACTCAGTAGTTAGAACTACCTTATATAACTTTCACTCTCCTACTCTCGGATTGAAAGAGACAATATGAGTCCCCTTTTGTGCCCGTTACAGAGACGTTTATCGGAAAATTGGTTAGCTGAAAGGAATGTTACCTACATAGTCTAACAATAAAAAAGCCAAAAATATGTATATTTTTGATAAATATAAAATTATTTCTTACACAACAAACCTGTCTCAGGTGATTACAGAAAAACGAATACTTAAAATTATATGCTTGAAGTAGTTAACACATTCAGTGAATTTATATTAAATTCACAGTTGCCCTTCGTTTCCAGGGCTTTCTACTACACGTCCCCAGGTGTTACAGTGATATGGCGATCCTCGCGTTTTGGGTATCTCCATTCCCAAAACCCTAGTGACATGGGCATCCCCTTCTCATATTATCTTAGCGATTTGGGTTAGGGTCAGGGTTCTGGGGATGCCCATATCACTAGGGTTTTGGGAATGGGGATGCCCATATCACTATGACACCGGGGGACGAGTAGAACGGAACATTGGGAACGAGGTTGAATGGAATTAGGAACAATTTCAGTTTTCGGGATCGCAATGTTTGGTGTTTGGGAATTACAAAACTTACCGTGCGAATTGTTTAGTGCAGGGGTATTTGTGAGGGTGAGGGGATAGTAGCACCACACGGATTAGAGCTAGTAAAAAAGACGAAAAATCGAGGGGAAAGAAAACGCCATTTGTCACTTTAGAAACGAGAAAAAACTGGACCGAGTTAACTTTCGCAAAGACTTCTGGGACTGTTACTAGAGAATGGCCAATAGCTGACCAGTGCGTCCCCAGTAACAATCCCAGAAACAATTGCGGGAAACGTTTCGGCTCCAGTTCCCTACTCGTTTGTAAAGTGGCGAATGTTACCTCTTTCCATTTATATTGTGGTGTATATCAGCTATAAGAAAAAGAAAGCCAAAATTCGGTCACTTTCCATAATTGGCGTTTGTGTTAAGGGGTAACCTCGTTGCAAGAGAAGATTTTCGTTAAGATCTTCCTTTTGTCAAGTTCTTGATAGTTCGCTCTTGTTGTTCCATTTTTTCATTTTTATATGGTTTATTCTACTGCAGGCGTGATAATTGGACGTTGCGTTATCGTATCTTTCTTTTTTAAGAAAAGACATGTTTTTGCCGGTGCAGTTTTATATTTGACCATAAGTCTTCGCGTCATTGTTCTTGTTAAATAGCTTGTATATATTTAGCATAATGTTTGAAGATAAAACAAAGAAAAAACACACAGCCCCTTCCATATTGAGATATCTGTTCCTCTTTGAGTTTACGATGTAATTTGAATGATCTATTTCCGATAATTGTTGTAGTTAGAAACACGAGTAAAATTCCCTTATTTCATTTATTTTTATTTATTTATTTTTGACTAAATAGACGAATTTGGTTAGTATTTTCTCATACACAAATCTAAGGTTTAGAGCTGCCTGGAAGTTACGGCTGAAGCATCATATCTGTGACAAGAGATATTTGAACTTGTCCCTCGTTGACATATAACGGGATGAATTTAGGTTTCTGTGAAACTACCCACCTACTCCTCCCCTAAGCCAGCATTAACACTTACTTCTCACTTAAGGCAAAATGTTGGCTTAGGGGAGGGGTAAGTGGGCAGTTTCCCAGAAACGTATAATGATCCTAAAATTCTGCACCTTAACTCTTCAAGCCCTAAGAATAAACTGTATCTGTTTTCTCCTTAACATATCAATGCAAGATAGGTTTCGAGTAAACAACTTCTCCACAATAGGACGACAGAAGTTGTATAGAAAACAGTGTGAAAAATTTGTACGTTGATAGTAGGGTTTATAAAGGGTTGAAATTTTAATAGCTTAACTTTTTCATAGCCCACTGTTTACAACGATTATCATTTTGGAATGCCTATTATCAGTTTCCTGGGCCGGGTAGAACATTTTGATATGATCCTGCCTTGTACACAATTATACAGTGATTATTTGATGATGTTAGTCAAGCAAACTTAAGTTCTAAGGTGGAAAAGAATTGAATAGCATTTTGCTATCTTGATTTGTATATTCAGGTTCCTGTTTCAGTAAACAAGAATTCCTTTCACTCGCTAGCATAAAGATTATTCAACAATCTAAAATGCAAAATAAAAAGAGATTTTAAGTTAAAAGGTTTCTAACGTTTTTCTTGTGTTTTTGTGTTTAAACCAGACATGATTGAAAAAAGTCGATTGTGCGCGATGACGTAAGTTTTAGGTTGTTAGCCATCGTCACGGATGAATTTAAACCTTGTGAGTCTACGGAATCTGCTAAATCCTGTGTAATCTTAGACAAATTGGAGTGTTGTAACCTTAAAAGCGAGCCTCAAACCTCGAATAAATACAATTCGGTTCATATTCGACGCCATGTTTGAGTTGCGCTGGTAATGTCTCGCCCCCTGGGCTCGAGCTTTTAAATTCCCATGGCTGTGAGCCACTCTTCTGATAGGTGGTTCGCAAAATTTCAATGGCGCATATGTTAGCTGTGGGTTCAAATGCAAACAAATTGCTTGCCTGGAAACATTGTCATGAGACGTTTTTCAATCGTGTGATAGTTGACTTTGTGATTCGAATGTGCGTCCATTCTGCTTATTAAAAACTCAATTTAAGTTTAAAAAAACTCCTTTTAAGTAAACTGGAATTCTTTCCTCAAAATCACGCTCTCTTAGTGGCTACTTGAATATCACAAGACATATTGCTTTGGCATTAAAGACGACAAAGAAAGTGGCCTGGCCTCAACTGTTCAAAAGCTGGATAGCACTATTTCATCGGATTAAACGTTAACCACTAGAAAAGTGTTACGGAAACCAATTGACCACTCCGGAAAATACCATAACATACCATAATGCTCTTTGTTTGTCACCCCAAAATTTTGCATAAGCATTGTCTTCAGTTTCTCTCGGAAGTTAAAATGGCCCCAAGAGAATCTGAAAACAGTGTTTATGCAAAATTTTGGGGTGACAAACAAAGAGCATTATGGTGTACTATGGTATTTTCTGGAGTGGTTAATTGCCACATCCAGTGGATACAGATTTATCAAGTGGGTAGCGTTATCCATCTTTTAAAGAAGTGGGGCCTGTGAAGTGATATGGGAATGAGCATACCCTCTGTGAGGCCGGCCCACGCATCGTTAAAACCATTGGTGTAGTCTATACAGGTGGTGTAGTGTGTGAATGAGCTACACTACAGGCCCGTAACCAGGATTTTATGTGGGGGGGTGCTAACGAGGCCAAAGCGGACCCAACTACGGAAATGTATTTTTTATCGTCTGATCCGTTTATTTAGGAAAGTAGCAATACATGAGAAATTGTAACGGCAAAGAACACGGTAGGAACTGAATATTACATTTTTCGAATACAACTGTTTGAATTTAGTTATAAAGGAGTAATTTTACGATGTAAAATGATACATCAAAATACTGCGGAACTAATCCGTCAGAACAGTTCCGAGCTCCAGCCTCCGTGGGTGTAGGTGTAGCGACTAAATCTCAGAGCATAATAATGGGATCAAGACTGGTGGACATTGCGAAAATGAGTATGATTTACCGTTTATATCTCGCTGTAAAACTGTAGTTAACTGAGATAGATCTGAAGTCGTGGTTTCAGCTGGGCTGTCATCGCAGACTGCACTGTCATTGTCAGCGTCTGATAGCTCTTGACGGGGTACTTTACTGACCCATTGCAATTGTATCGAGAGACTGGCAAGATTTAGCTGCAGCCTTCCTCTTTCTATTTTCCTGTTCTCTCCTACCCATAACGTATTACACAAAAAACTAATTTTGCATGTTCAGGCGTTCATGCGCTCGTACAAATAGAGAATACTACCCGACGCGTTAGCGGACGTGTCTGACAAAAATCGTGAGATCGCTCCCTTGTCATTGTCTCGCTCGTCGTAAACTCCCGTGCAAAGCCTGCGCCACGGGGCCTGCGCACGTTAATTTCATTATTCATTTACATAAGCTCGGACATCTGTGCGCTCATTGAAATGCTCTGAATGGCTCGGGCTACTAGAGTGTAGCTGGTTTTATTTTCCCAGTGAATACACAACTGCTTTTTCCATTCTTTGATTTTGTTTAAATATCACTGCACTGTTAAGTTTGGGCCTGCACTATGACCTGTTTTGGCCTACTCTGAGAGTTTTTCGTCAAAAATGATCTATGGACATACGGGGGGAACCAGATTTTTCGAACCACCTTGGGAAAAGCTAATTGGTTCGAATTATCGGGTGGTTTGAAGAATCGGCGGTTAAATTACAGTGTTTGACCGGTGAAGGGAAGTTAGGGGTCGTTCAAGTTATTGCGAATCTCGAGAAACGCAGTGTTCGAGGCATCGGGATTCTACGGTAGTAAAATGCCTGAGCCTCGAGGCCTTCTTAAAAATGATCACCGAGCGCGTAACTTGAGGTTATTATTTCTAAGATAGCCTTCATTCCACTGGTAAAGGATACAGGATTTTACACCGAGAATGAGCCTCGGAATGCAACAAAGAAACCCACACGTTTTAAGTTCACTAGCACGTTATCACCCAAGTATTCTGAATGTTGATGCCACTCTTGTTTTAATACCTCGAGCTACGCGCTCGGTCATAATCTAGAATTTGGCGGAACTCAGACATTATCCTATTGACGTAATCTAAGATAATGCTCTCTTGCAAAATAAAACTCTATAAATTCGGTGCCCTCATATTTTTCCCCCCTCTGGGAATACTATGCATCCACTTGCATACTATGCATGCACTTGTGAAAAATGTCATTGACAGCAATGGGTTTTGTCCAATCAGCATCAAATTGCTCCGAGAAGGTGAGGATAACAACTGAATAATTTGTCAAAGCGGGAAATACGTTGTTTTGTGAGTACGAACATAGGATTTTTTTTCGAATGCTGCGATGAAGCGACTGTCATGACCCAAAATTTAACTTCCAAGAATTGCGCATCAAACCAAGAGAAGAAAGGGAGGATACTAGCTTGATTATCTGTTTAAAAATGGTGAGAGAAATGAGAGTATTTTTGATGATAATGAAACTCCCGTGCATTCTCGCCTTGAGTCTGGAGAGGTTTTCTTCGTTGTTGTTGTTTTTCGGTGATGACTTTTTTGGTCTTTAAGAAGGTCTCTTTGATTTGTCCATCCTATAGGGCCACTTTCGGAAACTAACTGCAGCTCCAGGGAATAATTAGCCTGGACGAAATCTGGATATGTAGAAATATAAATACTTGTTTAAATAGTTTAGGCCTTAGTGGTGTACAGAATAAAACGAGTGGAAAAGCTTTTATGTTAAGTTAAAGTTTGTTTCATAAAGCCGTTTAATTTACCCGGCTGCTCTTGGATTTAACAAAACGGGCGCCAGCGTTAGTTGGTGCAGTACAAGATGTCACACGGAATATTTGCCGATGGTCAGCACCGCATCTCCGAACTCAAAAGAATGGAGTCAAAAGCTCTATCATTCCTTCGATTTAGCCAATAAAAATTACAAGAAACAAATCAAAACAAGGCTCTAGTTGAGGCGAAAGCTCAAAATTAATTCTCTACCAGTCTGACCGAAGCTGTGACAAAAACTCACCGAGACTCATTTCAAAAGCTCTATAGTTTAAAAAATGCAACCATAACAATAGCAAAACATAACACCAGGCAGCACTTGATATGATAATTATGCAAATAAATTGTGAAATTGAAGAACACGGTTCAAGCGTGTTCTTGCCTTCAGAATTTTCAGACTCAGTTTAAGAACCGAAGCTTTATACTATCCCGTGGGGGAAATTACTCGAGGAGAAGTCATCAGATTTATCAATACGTAAGGCGACAGAATTTGGTATGGAATTTTTTCGGGATTGCATAAAAGATGTCAATATAAATAAATATTTCTTGCAAATGTTTCCCCGTTTTTAAAAATTTCGGTTCTTTTGCTTTTTACAGATAATTCCCATTTTTCTTACTCGATTTTCGTTATGAGACATGATTATCCGAAAGAAGAGTCCGAAGGTTGGTTGAATCATGCTTCTTTCAGTTGCAAATCATTTTTCATATATTCAATGTTAAAGTATTCTTTTTTGAGTACTTTCGCATCGCCGATACTAATACACTCTGATAATCCGCAAAACTTTTGCACAAGCATTTTGATCAATTTTCTCGGGACGTGATGTGAAATACCGGGGAGAAATTGAAAACAATCCTTATGAAGGATCTTGAGTAAAACACCACACAGGTACGTACGAATAACACACGAATACATACGAGTACATACGAGTACATGGGGAGTTTTAGGAACGACGACGGCGGCGGCAACGAGAACGTCAAAAAAAACAATAGGTTTATTAAGCAAAACCTCAAGTTTGCACGTGCATCAGGCTTTTTTGTGCATTTCTTTGCTGTTACTGCACGACTACGACGTGAAAATACCTAATTTCACGTTTTACGGAGGACGCAAACAAGCGACGACGAAATTTTCTTTCTCTTTCTAAACTTGAGTGCGGTCCCCAAGAAATCAACTCCAGGGAGATCTGCCTATGACATTAGACATTTTCAGCGAACTGGAATAAACGCGACAGTGTCTGAAAAGACTCAAATTCATTTTAAAAGTGACGTTTTCGCTGCCCTCGCCATCGTCGATGCTAAAACTCCCTCCGTCAAATATATACCGCAACGTACGGATACATACGGATAAAATGTGAGTTACAGACGGATACTACGAATACATAGGGGTAATATATCGCTGATTACACACGAAAACCCGCACGAAATAGTCGAGATCATCCTTAAAGGGCGAACAAAGTGAATTGTGGTGAATGTAAAACCGTCAGTCTCATTAAAGAGCATTTGACTCAGTTATTCCCTACTTTTGTCTTCTCAATTGGACTTTTTCAGTTTCTTTCAAACAAAAGTATTAAGATCAATTGCTGATAAAAGGAAAATATCGAAATTTTTTTTTTGTGTTTTTTTTTTAGAACAGGTGT